AGGAAGGGTATTACTGGGAAGTGGCTGCCTTACCAAGAACTACACTTCCCAGCTACCTGGCAACTAGGTCTATCCATGGGCCTAGGCCTCCCCAGCTAGATTTGAGAGGAAATCATGAAAGTACCTGGTCTGAAACTTGAAAAGAATGGCCATGTCTCCTCCACACCATCTCTGCCCCCACTTCTACCAGGCGGATGCTCAATGACTGGAACAAGGCAGAGCTAAGGCTTTTTACTGTCACCATGGAAACCTCAGGCTACGAACCTCAGGCATGGCTTTGGAGGAGGCAGGTCTGAATCAAGAGTGGATGAGAGGGGTAGTTCTCACTGATTCCGTGGACAGAAGAAACTCCTTTTATGAAAAAAAAAATCACCTCATGAAAATAACTGTTTCATTGAGGAAAAGGAGGTTAGGTACTGGCTTAGTGTGATTTTTCTTACAGGAATCTCAGTAATAAAAGATGCTTCATAGCTGTAAATACAGAGCTATAAAATCCAAACATCACTTAGCAAATTCTGGGTCTTAATGCCTCTAGGTTTTGCATACTTGCATTATCACTGACTTAGACTTTCTTGCACATTTTTACTATCTGTTAAACACAGTAGCTGTGTGGGACTGTAAGGGGATGGCTCCAAGAACTGGGTCAGCTATAACAAACGGTGATCTCCCTGTTACACACAGTGATCATAGTGTATCCACTTCTCCTTATGAAAACACATGCCTCAGTTTTGATGCCAGTACCTAGAGCCCCAGGATCATCTAGGCTACTATAAATCACACATTCACACTCTCTTTACAGATACTAAAGCTGAAGGCAACTGTTCTATATTTCCAAAGTTGGCCTTGTTCATTTTTATAGATTTACATTCTAAATCAGCCCATTGTTCTTTTTCCCCATATCATGTTACCTATTTTCATAAATGCAAAGTCATTAATGCCACCTACTCCTAAGCTATTCCTTTAAATGCTACTTGAATCATACAACAAGAGTCTGTGGATTTTCCTTCCTTTGGTTCTATAATTTTTTATTCTATTTACTGCTTCTTCCTTTGGACAAACATCATCACTCCTATATAACAACCATCCCATCTTTCTCTTCATTTTTCTCTTTTATTTTTCTTTCCATCTTCTCTCCATCCTATTTCCTTTCCACACCATCACTCCACTTTGAACCACTCTGTCTCAGCACCTTAGCTTTAATCACTCTGCTTTTCATAATCCTGTGAGTTCCATTTTATTAAACAAGGGCCTCATTTCATCTTTCCCTTTCAACTCAAGTCCATATCTTGCTTCATCTCACATTATTTTCCCCACTTTTCTTTACCTTTCCTATTCTTCTATTGTCATAAACAGGGTGCCCTGGCAGTCTGTCTTTAGTGATAAAGTTGGCAGAAGGAGGGGACATGGAGGCAGGTGGCTGGAGGGACAAGGACCAGCAGAGCAGCAGGTGAGGTAGGCTTCCCTGTGGCCACCCTCACTTTCCCAAGTGCCTGACAGAAGGGTGGTCCAGAACTTCTTAGGCAAAATGAAGAAGAAACAAGTGGTCCCCATGGCTAGGCAAAGAGAGATGTAGCAGCAAAAGCTGGCCAAGCCTTCTGAGAAGGCAAATCATAAGAGAAGAAATATTCACAGCCAATAACAATACAAAAAGATGCTCAGCCTCACTAGGAATCAGGGACATGAAACTGTTTGCCTATTATATAAGTAATGATTAAAAAGACAAAACATTAAGCAGTGTTGGTGAGATTGTGAGGAAACACTTTCCGACAGTGTTAATGATGGAGTAAGTTGACAGGTTTTCCACCTCACGCTTTGGCAATATACAGCTACACTTTAAACGTCTACAACTTTTGACCCTGCAACTCCAACCAACAGGATTTAACCTAAGAAAATAATTAGATGATGAAACAAAGATATGGACATGCAATCATTAATAATCTTTCCCTTGTTTATATCATAAGAGCAAGGTGGTGGTATGGAGGAGCTTGGCAAGGGGAGGCTGAGGGGAGGCTCGTGCCTGTGGAGGAGTGAGGGGGGAGAGGGACAAAAAGAGAAACAGAGGGTGGGAGAGGAGATAGACAGAGGGGCATAAAGAGGACACAGGGGGCAGGGTGGAGAGAGGGAGAGGTTTGTTTGCAAGGGTGAGAAAGGAACAGGTCATGGGGTAGTGGGTGAGCTTGAGAGGAAAGTATGGGGAAGAGAAAAGGCAGAGAGGAGGAGAGAAAGATCTCTCCATCAAAGCACAGTCAACTATGGTATATCCATATCAAGCAGACCTTAAAGGGAATGGTGCAATCCTCTATATGAAATAGGAAGATGGTTAATTGGAAAGATCAACACACAGGACAGCAAGCCTAGTATGATCCCATTTATCTAAAGTGATACATAAAGGTAAGTGCAGCAAAGGGATAGCTACATGTATGCATGATTCTCAGTGAGTTGACTTTTCTGGTAGGTTTAGGCTCTATTTCATGAATTTCTATTTTGTCAGCATTTCAATAATTAATTTCTAGCAATATGCAAAACATTAAAATTCTATATAATTTAGACAGACCCTTAGTTTCCCGTGAGAATTAACCAACATGAAAATAAAGTGGATGTAATTATATCACCTGCTTCATACTGCAGAAATGTTCTATTCTTCATGTGATAAACTTAAACTGCTCATTAAAATTTCATTTGTATAATTTTGTACTGAAAAGACAATGGAATTAGGCTATTGAACACAGACATCACCTGCCTAGCTATTCTTTGTCTAAATCTTAGATTTACCAGGCCCTACCACAAGGGACCTCATCAGGGCATTATCAAACCAAATACTTTTCATCTTGAAGTCACATTGACACGGAGATATTAAAGAAAGCTGTCTCAATTCAGGTTTCCCCTAAAGAAGCCCCTGACATAGGGTCTTTGGAACAGGTATATGATTCAAGTGAGGGGAAAGTGAGATGGGGCAGGAGGAGGCAAGACAAGAAAAAGTACATTAATGAATGGGGTTAATACAGCAGGTAACTGGGGTTCAGTCCTTTCACAGGCCTTCTGAGAAACTGGGTAGGAAGAATCACAGAATTGTCCACTAGGTGTCAAGGAAGTCGGGGTGTTATCCTCATTGGTGGAGCCTTGCCATTTCAGGCATTAAATTCTTGATACTTGCAGGTCACGGGAATTTCAGCCTTAGATGCTTACTAAGGCCGGTGGGCCAAATACAGTACTACAGGTTGAGTATCCCTAATCCCAAAAATCCAAAATCTCAAATGCTCTAAAATACTAAACTTTTTTAGTGATAACATGACACTCAAAGGAAATGCTCATTGAAGCATTTCAGATTTTTTTATTATCTGCCCAACTGATAAGCATATAATGCAAATATTCCAAAATCCAAAAAATATCCAAAGCCTGAAACACTTCTGATCCCAAGCATTTTGGATAAGGAATGCCCAACCTGTATTTGGGTTATATTTATTATCTCACCAAAACCTTAAAACTCCATGGAGTATTGGATCTACTGTACAGATTAGGAATCTGAGATGCACAAACATTAAGCCACGTGCTGAAAATCAAACAGTGAATAAGCAGCTGAAATGAGCTCCAAATCCAGTTCTGTCTCATCCATTATGTGATGTAATGTCATAAAGCATGTCAATTCTCCAGTACAGCTGGCATCTCCTTACTGGGTCACACAACCTGAAGGAGACATGTGAGCATTTCCAGCCTCCCTCCTTGCAAGGGAAAGGTAGTGAGATAGCTGCCCAGATTGTTTTAATCCTCTTGCATCCATAGGAAAATCTTCCAGTTCATAATACCCCAGCCATGTGAAATTTTTATAGCATCATCACCTGTGGTTACTCCCACCCTAAATACCAGTCACTATGAAATTTATGTCAGAATTCAGATCAAAGTATGAGAGGAAATTCAAAGCAAATTTTTGTCTGATGAACTCATGGCAGAGAATTATATTTGATAGAGAGTTCCAGATTCTAGTATATTAAAAACAATCTATAACTTTACTGTGAGGAGAGGACTTTATTAGAACAAATAAAACATGCTGAGCTCTGCCCAGACACACAGGTCACGCTAATGTGGGAGCCAAGAAAGTCTTTTCTTGCTTTAGTAGAAAAGATAATAATTTGCGAATCACTAGCATCTGAGGCTGGCCTGATTTAAAATGCACATAGATAGAGAAAAAGTTCCAGGAAATCATTGTATTTATAGCTTGCCTGCATGAGTCAGTGTAAAGGCCCTTGCTGCTCCCAAAATAACACTTGGGACAGCACTGTATCCTATCACCTTCACTAAAGCAAAGGCATGTCTCTCATCTTCTATTCCTTAGGTTCCCTGGGAATTTATCTCCTACTTCACAGGAAACCAGGGGAGCAGACAGGGCCCCTCTGTCCTCCCCCACCTCCAGCCCAGCTACACAGCTGCTGGCTCAAGAGCATCCCATCACCAGAAGCCCAGAGCAGCCCACCTAAAGGGTCTCTCGCCCTAGGACCCTCCACCAACTACCCAACCATCAGTCAGAATCAGAGTCCCCTCAGCATTAAATCTTACAGGACACAAGATCTTCTCCATAAGTGTAAAGTGCAGGAGAAGGCTCTGGCTAGGCCTCAGTCTCCAAGATCTTTCATAGAAGAATGACTTGAGCATCTGAGGAAACGACAGTGATCCATCTTGTTCAGAAATTACCAGTGATGCAGAGAATAAGACCCCAGCCACATACTCAGCAGACTGCATGGGGGTGAAGCGTTTTTATTCTCTTGGTAGAGAATTTCCCAATTCTTGATCCATAACAAGTGTGGGCAAGGCTCCAGACACATGAGCTATATATGTGTCTAGAATTGCTTTCCCTCCCAAGAACACCATAGCCACATGAAGACCTTCATGGGATGCGAAACTGCCAGGTCAGCCCTTTCTCCAGGCTCACAGAGGCCTCTCTGGCAGACACCCATCCACTGGCTCCAACAGGAAATGGAAGGGGTCAATGGCAAGGGGCACTTCACCTGGCACACTGGGCTGGAAGACTTTATTCAGATCCAAGGAGGAGGCTCTGGAATGGGTTTTCTGTGGCCGGGGTGGCGGGGTGGGGGGGTCCTCGCCCCTTTTCATGGCCTCTTCTATGGAGGTGCTAGAGTAAGATCTGTAGCAAAATAAGGGAAGGTCAGAGGGAAATAGCAAACTTTACTCTTTGAAGTTGGGTTGAAATGGAAAATACCCCCAAAGTCAAAGTGACTACAAAGAACCGATGAGCTACCAAAGCAGCCATAAATTCTATTATCCATTGAATGCCACTATGTACAATAATTGTCCAAATCCAACCATCAATTGGGATCTTTTTTAATCTCATTGTTCTTATTATACCTTAGACCTAAATCGACCCTTCCCCGCAAAAAAACCTTGTGCAAATTCAAATCTGTTTCTATTGGAATTGTTAAGAACATGGAGCCCCTCAGGCATTTCCATGTTCTAACAGAAGGGCTTCATGCTATAAACTGATTGGAGAACTTTTTTCCTGTTCACTTGCAAATGTAATGACAGGCCAATGTGGAATTGGGACAGATAAGCTGAGGGTAAGAATCCAGTGTTCAAGGGAATATGCCATAAATGAAGCTAGGAACGGAAAACATACTCAATCAGATTGAGGGGTCTAGCCTGTCTTGCCCTGAGAAAGCAAAAGCGTCATTTTAAGCTTCTTCCTCAATCTATAGCAAAGCATAATTAACTGGGCAACTTCTGAGACTGTAACTCCAGTAATACCATTTTTTTAAAAAAGGAACTAAGTAAACTGCAAAAGGTCAGATAGAAAGTTACACAGTTTGATTCAAACTCCAATCTCTGTTTCTACATTCCATTTTAAAAATGTTCTCATACTGCCTATGAGTCCAGGGGAGAATACTTTAGTGGTAGCAACTAGAATATTTATTGGAGATCTACTTACTTTCCAAATTCAATTCAAATCCATACACTGTTCTATTGCCTGGGAATAGGTTTAAGGAGAGGATCCCAATACGATGATCAAGAAGGGGCTCTAAGATGTAGATATACACATCTGTTGTATTTAGCGTCTCAACTAACTTCATGTCAAAGCAGAAAACAACCTTTGAGTCAGAGGTACATCCTAGAGACAAATTAACCTCTGAAAACCGTTCTTTATATTTAGCTATTAGAGAAGGATTTGGGAATTTAGAATCTATCAATTATTATTACACCCCTTCAGTTCTTGACAGAGCTGTTTTTGACATCGTGAGTGTTTATTTTCCTGAATAAATTTCTCAAGGTTTTTTTGTTGTAACTGAGGGTTTTGTCTGTCTTAGAAGGTTGCAACTTTAACAAAGCCACCATAATGGCATGTGACGTACTCTGGGGCGGTCCCTGTAACATAACTGGCAAGCCAGGCAAGGCAAAGTCAGGCAGAAACTAGCAAGGAAGAACACTCTGACACTTTAAACAAGAATCAAAGGGAACTGACACAGACGGACAAGGTTCTTAAATAGAAACATTCACTTCAAAAAGACAATTAGAGATACTAGCTAGAAATAAAAAGAACTTTCTATGCCACATATAGCTGTAGTGACATCTTTCATTCAAAAAAGAATAATGTGTGTATAAATAATGTGTGTGCATCATATAGTTAAGCACACAATCCCATAGTGCATATTCATTTTCATTTTATTTTCATATATAACCTGTATGTTTATATCTTCATATGGAAAGTTACTGAATATAAAAAAGTGAGATTGTATAACCATGACTGCTGCAACCAATTAAAACATAAATGTGCAAGGAGTTAACAAAATGATGAATGCAGTGGTGTTAGAATGGTGATTTTCTCTCTTTCCCTTATATTTCTACAAAAATTTATTAATTCATAAAGGAAGACAAAAATAATTCTATTCTTTTGGTTTTCCCAGTGGGAAGTACTGAAAATAAAATCATCCAAACTAGACAAAAAGAGCAATCTCTGAAAGGATATGTAAAATTTAGTCAGACACATTAATAATAGAATATGTGGCTATGAGATTTTATAATTTCACTGGCTTTCTGGGAGAGAGAAAGTCAGCAGAAGCTAAAACTCTGAAGTTCTATTTATGGTTAACACAGTACACATAGCAGATTTCTGCAATTCAAAGGCATTTCCTACTAGAAAGCATATCCCAAAACTAGTACAGACTAGTTTGTAAAAGATCTATTCATCCTTTAAAAAAGGATGAGTAAATGTGTCGACCACAGAGGAAAAGAATGCCTACACCTTTCCTTCCTACCTAAATGAGTTACTCTATTGTTTTTAAATATTGGTAAATATAAAAATATAGATATCTGTATCTTATATAAACAAGGAAACAAAACTCCAATTTGGAAAATGCAGATAGAAACTAAAGGGTAACTCTTTGACTTACAAAGAGATGAAGTTCCTTAAATACCAGCATTTCAAGCGTACAAAATATGATCAGACTTAAATTTACTTTTTCAGGATTGTGTCTAGTAGGCAAAGGAGGGAAAAATGTCACTAAGAGCCAAAGCAAAACAGAAAACACACGCATGGTATCCTTGGTATCCTTACACTGCAGTTCTACCAGTGAAAAGCATTTCCCTTCCTTAACGGATTAATTCTATTAAGTGTCTGTATTTCCCCTCTGCTCCTCTTTTCTGAGTCTCACATCAACCACAGCTCTGCTTTACTGGCTTTCTGTCTTTTACTAACCTCTTAAAAAAATGTGAAGCCGAGAAGGAGTACTAAGATAGGCTCTAACAGTCCATAAGCATTGCTTACCTGAAGCTGCAAGCTTTGCTGAAGTTATCACAAGCATACAAGCATTTTCTTTCCCTACTCTAGATTTTATTACCCAGACTTTTTACTTTTTGGTGTTCACCTTGTCATGATAGCAAATTTTTGTGTTCATTACCTTACCCATATTTTCACCTTTCCAAATCTACTTCCCCCTATTAGTTATCATCTTGCAACAAGTGGGTCATCTCACACAATCCACTTCACGTGGAGGGGCCATAGGGCATTAGCCACCACCTTCTAGCACTAATGAATACAGAAACCAAGGCTCCCAGCATCACTACACATTCCCAACAGGCCATGCATGAGTGAAATGCCTCATATCCTAAGCTTTACACCTAAAGGAAGAGGAAATCATGTACTGAGTTTTTGGTTTGTAGTTTTTCTTTCTAGGCAGGGGCAGGGCACAAAGGGCATTAAAGCAGAAATTAAACGAACACTACCTGGATCTTGGTCTTGCTTTGAGACTGTTGGAATCCTTGGGAGTTGCTGAAACAAAGATTATTTGTTGTTTGTTTGGGTTTCATTTCTGCAATTAAACAGGTTTATATGCAGCACCTGGGCTAGTACAGAACATATCAACAGATAAATGTGAGGTAAAAGTGCCCATGTGGAGAACTGGATGGCTCCCACATTTTCATGATTTCCTCATTTTATTTCAAAATCTAAAGGCACAATTAAAAGGAAAGGAAAACCAGAATATTTTTCCTTTGGCCAGAGCACTATTTGAGAGGCCATTCTCAAATCCAAGTTGATTAATGAAGACATTCCAGTATAAAAAGATAACCCCTTGAAAGAGTTGTCTTTTTATATAATGATGGATTCACACTTGAGGGTTTCTTGGTCTATCATGATAGCCTCATAATAGATTTTGAACCAGTCTACCCTGAAGGATAGGAGGAAGTCTATCTAGCTACATGTTGTTGTTTTTTTTAAATATACTACCAGAGCAGCATGGCCACAGAAAACCAAAGCTCTCACAAGTAAGTTGAAATGAGCTATACAGCTTCTCCTGTAAGAAAATATCCTTGTGTCCCATATCTCTGTGACTAAATCATACAGAGAATTATGAAACAAAATCACTGAATCTTTTGCCAGTCATATGACTTTTCCTCATTAAATTTAAATCATAAGCTAACTTGCTAATTGACAACACCTATAGAGCCTACTTTCCCTTCACAAGTTGTGAGGAGTAATTAGAAGCATTTACAAAAACATTGATCCTCTTTTTATGCTTTCAATCCTCTATGGAAGACAACTTTAGGAACCAGTAGCTATGCTCAGGTGTTGCAAACATTGCAAATTTTTCATCATAAAATGTCATAAGAAATCATAGAAAGGTGCTAGTAACACAGAACCAGAAGAATGTAATTTCTTTGTTTGCATGAATTCTTCTGAAAAGAAAATGTCTCTGCACAATCTCATCCTCTTTTACATTGCTCCAAAGAGAAAAACCCTCCTTGGTATGAAGCAGCCTGAATTCATGATGATCATTAAAATGCTTGGGTTAGATAACAGGGCAGAGAGGGAAGGCGAAAATCCTCATAAATGCTAACAAGGCACAAAGTAAACTACTGGTCAGCTGCAGAGAGATGCACTTCTCCCAACCCAAGCATTCTGGCTTGCTGTAGTGAGAACACAGGCATCTTCCAGTTTCAAACAGCTGAAACACTGCCAGGGCACAGGAAAGCCTGGAAAGCCCAAGGAGTTTAAGTCCCCTTTTGCACATTATTGTGCACTCACACCTAGATATAGACAGAAAAAGACCTCCCTCCCTCCTATAAACCCCAAGTAGCAAAGAAAGCAGCCTTGAGAAGCCTCTCTCCCAGTCCAGGAGGCTGCCTTGGGGCTGGGTGGACAGAGTGGACCAGACTCACCGCAGAGCTGGGGAAGCCCTCTGCGCAGGCTGCCTGCAGCTGGCTCCGTGGCCCTCTTCTCCCTCAGGCCCCACTGCTTTCAAGAAATACGTGGGTAGGAGAGGTCCCAGCCATGATAAAATACTGTTCCCCAAGCCAGACCATGGTGACTTTTAATTCCTTTGTCAACTGCCATTATCTTTGTCTGTTTGCTGGTAGGGATGGGTGTGGAAGGAGGGGTGAGCCCTGCTGGTAAGAGATAGACAGACAGACAGACAGACAGACAGACAGACAGATGGGGTGAGGGTGTGGATGAGTAGTGGAGAGACAGGACTAGAGACCAGGCCAGGAGTCCTGAGACCAGGGCGCTCCTCCTGGCTATGACACTAAGTAGCTGTTACTTCCCTGAACCTCAGTCTCCTTACCTAGAAAACAAAGACCATAAAAACACAGTCTCTTTCTCACAGGGACAGATACGGTGAAAGTATTTTAAAAATTAAATGTATTTTAGAATTGTAAAATATTACTATTATAGAGTACATAAATAAAGTCTCCTAATTTTTCAAGCCTGGAAATCTGATTTCTAAATTTAGTTCCTTCTAGAACAGCAGAGGAGGGGCAGGTGGGAGCAGGTAACGGAAGGAAAGAACTGCTCTATCCCAATAAAACCATGGGGCAATAGTTGGCAATGGAGCAGCTGCTAGAATCACCAACAGCAGTCTGAAGACAGCACTGTGAGGGTGAACCAGCCAAAAACACCTCAGCATGAGCCAGAGACATCAAGAAAAAGACCACCATTGTGCAGGGTGCTCTGCTGAATTAGGTTGGAATGGGTATTGTTTAAGAAATCTCTTAAGACTCCACTAATATAGACACTTCTAGCAATTACGACAAACAGATCACAGCTTCTTATATAGCTGGAAAGAGGGAAGAGGAATGCCAACTTCCTAGAAGACTCAAGGCATGTCATCTTTCCAGGAAATGGGAATGGAAAGAGGAGCAGGCCTAGAGATTAACCTTCCAAAAGGCAGCGACTGAACTGAGGCCCACGTGGCATGGACAGCCATCCAGAATTCTAAATCACCATCTTGAAACTATTGTGTCTTCCACTGAGAATCTAAACATTTCCCAGAAAAGGAGGGATTAACTATGTTTAAGATGAGGAACTCTCTCATACCCAGAGAAGGGCAGCAGTGGGAAGAACAAATTAGAAAACACATACCATTGTGTCCTGGGCACAATGTGAAATAAATTGACATACTTCCTATGCTGTGGCACATCTGTCAAGTTTTATTTGGTGATACCATGTCCTAGACAATGAAGTAATGTTAAAAATGAGATCTAAAGCTCATGCCCCACAGGACACTTGATCTTGTGTTTATATTCCTTTTAAAAAAAAAAGTAGGAAGAGTTATGATCCTCAAAGGCTATCGGAGAAGCACCAATTTAACACTCCAAATTTAAACAGCTTTTACTAATACTACAACATGAAGTTTACGAAAACTGGAATGTATCCACTTTAGTTCCAGAAATTAGAGCTAGAAAGAACTGACTCCAGGTGTTTGGCCTACATTAACAGAGCATTTTACCCAATGAGGAATAAATTCAAATCTGTTTCATAAGTCAAAATTAAGCTTGGGAATTCCCATCACTTTTGGAGTCATGATTAATCTATAACCTTAATGTTCTATTTTGTAGCATCACCTTCCAGATGTGGTGGTTCCCAAAAGAGACTATGTACCAGAACCAATTGGGAAGCTAAGTAAAAATACAGATTCTCAGACCTCCATAATTGAAATCCATCATCCACATTCATTAATATTTATTCTCATTCTCATATTCTCTCTCTCTCTGTCTCTCTGTCTCTCTCTCTCCACCCCATTTCCCTCCACCATCTTTTCTCCCACTCCCCTAACTCCTTCCTCTCCCTCCACCCATCTCTCTTTGAAACTCTGAAAGAACTTGACATTTGGGAAATATTTTACCACAGCATAAGCCTCAACATTATATTGATTCCTCTGCTCCAACGTTCAATAAGCCCAGGGATGATAGCTAGCTTATCACAACAAACATGATTGACTTATTAAAAACATGCAAGAAAGATAACAGCAAAAGAGAAATCAACAACTTCTTTCATGTCCTTATAACTAGAGCTCCAAATAGTAATGTCTTCTGTAGCCACTTTGTTTTTAACTAGGTTCAACTTGGTTCAGTGATGGCTCTACCAACAGAGAGCTGGGGACACAGGTGCGGCCATTCTCCATGGCTCCAAAGACACAGGTCTGACTCTCCAAAAAACTGGACAACTTTAATTTTGCTCCTTGGAATCCACTCCATATATAAGCACATATAGTTTTGCCTTCCTGGTGGTGAAGCATAATAAAAATATTTGAGACTTCTGCTTTGGAAATGGAAAACACCAACTCTGGGCCTCCAATTGATCTACCCTATAGGTTCCTTACTCTACAAAAAGTCTAAAATGGCTTATTGAAATCATCTCAACCTCAAGCCTTCTCAATTTTACACTTAGTAACAAGACCCTATGTTTACACTGAGTGATGCTTTGTGATCCTTTCAGTGAAACTTAAAAAGATATCACCCTGTTTTTATATCTGAAAAGAGAGAAAGGGTAAAAAGCCAAAAGGTTTCCTTGTAATAAAATACAAGACAAATAAATAGAAACAGACACACTATCACAGAGGTATCAATCTTCTACTCACTGACTTGCTGGTTTTTTAATTTTAAAAAATTATATAGAAAGTATACAAAAATGGTTTTCTCCTACCTGGATCCTCAGACACGTCCTTTGGTAAGGCTTCATTGACAGTACTTTTCAAAACTAGCAGTGTTTTGTTTTTAAGGAACAAGAAAGAAAAAAGAGGAAAAAAAGAAAAAAAAAACTATAAAATGTTATTTCTGAGGCAAATTACATTAAAACAAAGAATCCCTAGTCATCACTTACAAAAACAGGTCTCACAAACCTCTAAAAGTTGCTATAGCATTTACTAAAACAATAAAGACCTCCTGGAGTATGGAAACAGGTTATCCTTCTACAAAGAGCAAAGATGTATTTTTCAACTTTCCAGAGAGAGCACCTCTAGCAGACAGGAGTACTACCAAGAAGTATCAGGAGTTTTTCCCTCTTTCATTCCTGACACCCAGACCAATGACATGAGAATTCCTGGGAGTAAAATCCGAGCTTCAATACTTTTACAGCTTGCCCAGTTATTCCACTATGCAGTTAGGAGAATGGTCAGAGTACATGTTGCCCAGTTCTACCTGTCTCTCCCAAGCAAGTATTTAAATAGAGAGCATGCAATTACTGTCGCTTAATGGAAAACTTATTTTTCATGTTTAGCCCCCATACAATGCCTAATCAATGGCAGGCCTCAACAATAGAACCTGAAATAGCTTCACTGACTTTTAGTCCTTTCAAATAAGCCTCTCATTCATGAGTAGTAAATCAATATCAAATAACAGGCAGAATACTGGCTTGAGGCTTAGAAAAAATCTTGGTTCTTGCCCCAAATCTTTTTCTTAATAACTAAGCAAATGATTCATAGTGTCTGAATTTCACTTTACTCATCTCTAAATTTTAGCTGATAAAACATCAAGCTTCCATTTAGTTTTGTAAGGACTGAATAAGACAGTATATGAGGAAGGACATGGTAGATTATAAAGCACTATACAAAGTATAGGAAGCGGGGGAAGATGGTCCCTTCCACACTTCTAGATATTCCCAGGCCAACTCATCCCTGGGAGTAGCTCTAACACGGAACATGTGCTGCACTGCTTCTTAGCTGCCCAGTAAGATAGGAAAGCTGTAGCTGGGCTCCATGTCACACTCCCACAGTCACAAAGCCAAGAAACAGATAAATGCTACGGACAGAAGCTCTGTCCAGAAGATAACTTCCTGATGGATTAGAGCTGTGTGTAAATGTGCATTTACACTGATGTCTGGGATCACATCTGCAAACACAAGATGTTAAGCTCTCAATTCATTCAGTTTCTAGTTATTTCCTAATTGCTACGATCAGATTCCAGTGTAAGGTGTTAGAGTAGCCTGAAGGCCAGCAATGACTAAGGGGTCAATAAGTTGGAAGATTCTGGACACTCAAGCTCTTGCTATCACTTTGTGAACTATTGTTTTATGATTTGAACTATTTAATCTATCCAAATGTGTTTACATGCTGAGAGCCATCCTCATATGCTCTAGAAGCCACCATTCCAAGAGGAGTAGATAAGAAAACAGAGGTAGAACACTGATTAAGGAAGAAAACTCATTATTTTCCTACCTTGTTTGTCATCACCAGTCACATCTTGGGTAGGGA